TGAGAGATAGGGCATCCTTGTCGAACTCCACTGGAGACCACAAAGGAAGTCGAAAGCTTGCCATAAGCTCTAACCCTGCCCGAGGTCAGACCATAGAGAGCGCGCAGTATAGAGACAAACTTCTCGGGAAAGCTATTTTTCAGTAGGCAGTGCCACAGTACCGCCTGATCGACGGAATCGAAAGCTGTACGGATATCCAAGAACACTGCAACCGTTGGCTGTTGATACTCATGGCAGAGCTCGAGGATCTGGCGGAGTGTGAAGATTTGATCGATGCAGCCGCAACCAGGGCGAAACCCAGCTAGTTTTCTCGCTGAAACGATTCGCACTTTGAGGATAGCTTGTAAATTATGGTGGACACTAGCAGCTTGCAAACGACTAAGACTAAGCTTATGCCTCTGTAGCTGGAGCAGGAGGACCGTAGAGAATTCCCGGGAGGCGCTGGGATGGGAAGGTATTTTAGGCGGTCATGGGGAGCCGTGCTACGGAAAGTGGGTTATGATATCACAGATAACAAAATTTGTTATAAAAATTTTCTGCTCATTACAAGTCAGTGAAATGAATCACGCATGCGCAAGTGGATATCCACGAAGGTGATCAAACCAGACCGGTCAGATTTTGTGTTGCGGAGCTGATATAGTTCCAGCAAACTTGCGCAGATTTAGCCGGGATCACCTCAAAGCTACAATCACCATACGGCGACTTAGACTGCGCAATTAACAATTGATCGGTCCTCAGGACTGGGTTTCACTCAGGAGGCTGATGCATCTACTGTGCAAGTTGCAGTGAACCTACCGAACTCTCGTCAGAGCACTGCAGCAGTAACCGTACAAAAGCACACTTAACATTAAGTAACTATTCCTCAGGACACTACCACAAGTCGTACCAATCTGTCTTTCTGTTTCGCTTCTCAATGCGGTAGCGCTAGCTAACGTGTATTTTGTCTCCAGTCTTAGTTCTCCTGTACGTCTGGCGGCCAGGTCACGTTAGTCAGCAACCTTACGAATTCCAGTGGCAAATCTGCGCGCGTTGTGTTCTATCTTTAATGAACATTCGTATATCCCGTCTAAGAGTCGAAACAGCTAGGTCCCCTTATAATGCTTTGTTAGCATCCAGTTCATCTGAACTCTTCAAATTAGTGATCAGTTCTATAAACCTACATCATAGGTGTGAACATTTGGTTTCTGTGGGAAATATATATAACATAATGAATGCCTAAGGATACTTCTCATAATACCCATAAGAATCAAATGGCTTGCCAACACGCCTTGGGCGCCAGGTTACGAGAAAGTCCAGTTACGTTATCAATTTCCTTATTGACTCTCCCATACCGGTTTGTTGAACTCTCCAGCATTTTATTCTGTGTTTGTTTCTTCTGTTCTTCATTGTACTTGCTGTCACTGCTCAAACTTTCCTCTAATGCAGTGGATCTTGTGAGTATTGTCATTTTCTGAGTTCCATTTGTTTTCTTCATTGGCTTTTGTCAATAAATTTTCTATAATCATTTCAACTATCCATGTTATTTTCAAAATCGTCCTCAGTAAGAACCTCTGGGTTGTGGTATAAGCGCCACTCTATCCTCTGTAAGACAGCAGCGTGCGAGTCAGTGGATAGTAAGCGGCGCTATATAACATCCAGTAACTTGTTCACGATGGTGGTTGCTATCCCCCGTAGCACGGTGGTCTTAACGACAGACTGCAACAGTCGGGTTGCTCGTTCGAGCTCTACAAAGGGTCTGATGGAATGCGCACTGCTGGCGATTCCCGAAAGGATGAAACGGCTCTAAAGTGCTTCTCCGGGCGTGTGATGGCTGTCTGAGTGAGTCTAGGTGGGACAAATTTCTACCTATAACATGCAATTCCCCCTACCACTCTTCTCTAGATGACTTTACTTTACCTGACAGCGACGCTCTTCTTGTAGTATGTGTCTGAATCGTCATTGTTACTGAATTAGTGCATGAGACGCTGTTTGCCAGAATTAAAACTCATACAAAGTGCTAGTCTATCTTTGTGGTAGGCAATAGCTATCCGATTGAAAATCCCATTCCGATACAGAACATAGTAGCACGTGCAGCAGATGGTGCTGCCGCTATGGTCGATAGATATAAGGGATCTATTGCCCATATAATAACTATTCACCCTTCTGTCCATACAGTCCGCTGTGATTCATCGAACGCACCTAGTAGCTAAGAAATGGTGATGGCACTTAAACGATTCCGTCAATAGTTTTAATGTTACTCAACATTTTGCAATCGCACCCTCTTGAAGATCATCCTTTCCAGCAGTCGTGTGAGGGGAACAATGATGATTTCTAGGTTCTATTTTTGTCTATAAAAGTTGACTGGCTCTCCAGGGGCAATTGTCTTCAATGTTTTGTTGCACTCTAAGGCACTATCATTATATTTATTTTTGGAAATGCTTGTGAAAGAAAAGTGCTAACAACAGTCACATGTGTTTTAACTAGCTGTTTTGGAAAAACTCAACTGATTAGATAAAACATTTCAAGGCAGGTTGAGTAATCTCATCTTGAACAATGAAGCCACTATCTCTTTCTTTAAAAAATCTGGAAGTGTATGCTCCAAACATCAGACGTCGGGAATTTTCACAGTCCCCAATTCTCGCTACAGACAAGGAGGAGGGGAAGGATGAAGACTTGGTTGTTTATACCAGTCACTTACAACTCCGAAAAGAAACCAAAGACAGATTTCCTGACCTGACTGCGTAGCGACCGCGTTTATCGGGCCTGATAGTGTACTGTTGCCGGTGAACTCTGGGTGAGTTTGGCAGGTCTGTGCCGGCCCTGTAGCTCCATATAAATCTTGTTTATCACGTCTCTGCATACCGGAGCAGCTCCCTGATGGGCTTCATTTAGAGGACTGCATCCATCCAAATGATGGTAGGACTTTAATTCTGAAGTACAACGTCAGTGATTCTTAACCGTACTTGGTGATCACTCACATGTCGTCCAGCTACCTGCTTTGAATTTTGATCACAACGACGTTAACCTACGTACTACGTTCAATATAGACGCGTGGTTCCACTCGGTACAACGCTGCCGCGTGCTCATTAACATTCAGCAATTTCCCATGAGGTAAACGCCGATAACCCTGGTAGGAGTGTAAAGCCGCTGCAACAGCGGCCCCACAACTTAATGTGCCAATTCTCACTGAGTTGCGCCACCTACCATAGCACTAAAGGCAGAGTTCGTTTAACATCTCTATTGGCTACGTGCTGGCCTCATAATGTTGTACCAGCAGTTGAGTGACCCCCGCCCTGCTGGATGTCGCCTTCCGACGCTCAGCTGGAACCCAAATTTAATAGGTATCCGTTTGAGAGTAGATGCGCATTTCAGCGCTTTGGAGCACTATGGAAACTAGCCTTCTCTTCGAATCAACAAGCGCTGGAGCCCTCGCAGCATTTGCAAAAGGCACCAGCATGGCTAGCTATAAACGAGCGCGCTGAAATGAATTAGTTGCATAGTTATCTCGGTTCTCTTTCTCAGATTGGATGGGGAAGTAGGTAGACTCGGAAGTATCCTTAACAGCAGTTACTAAATTCAAAAACGCGTTACAGCGCCTGCGAACAGACACTGGACATCCGCGTTCACAGAAGGATACGTATTGGCCGGTCGTTCACTACCCGCAGCGCCCATTTTCCATATGGACCCGGAGGAACAAGGTGGGCGGATAAGTCAGTATCAGCAACGAGAGTTTAGCACTGGGCACATATTGCGTTGAGTCGCTTTTCACCCGCGCAATTGTGAATCCGCTCATCGCACCACGGTTCATGGTAATGTCCTGAGAATGTAGGCGCGCTCCAACCTCCCCTGGGGTACGCTCATGATACACGCCTTTGGTACGTACCAGGAATCTTCTCACGCAAATCTGCGGAAAATATGTGCCAAACGCACATGATACATATTGTAGGTAAGAACATAGAAACGCAAAGGACACAGCTGTAATGTGTACATACGACCAATTCATTGGTTCGTTTGATAATACGGGCATTTATTCACACACAGAGTCACGTGCATGATCAGACAGACCGTGGCTGGTGATAACACATCACAACGATACGTCTAGACAACTGGTTAGGAACAATAAACAAGGATTCTATACGGATTAAGAAGCTCTGCTTTACAAGCCCTGTTGGATGGTCTGGTGGCCTGTAGAAAAACGGTAATAAAAAAGGTACTTAATAGTTTACTGTCAGAAGAATGGACTTATGGTTTGTAATGCAGTAGCCTTGCAGTCCGAGTGTTTCCATAGTTTAAGTACAAAAAATAAGCATCCAAAGTATTTCCCGGCTTGGCTGGATTAGCAACATGCAAATGGCGGAGTGCGTCATTAAAGCGACTTTTGAATTTGGCTGGTGTAGGTGCAGAAACAACCGATTCGGAGAGAGCGTTCCATGATTGACACTTACAAATCGAAACGAAATTTCTACGGCACTTCCGACGTCTGTACTATTGCGATAATTTCAAAGATTGACCTCTAATTTTGTGCTACTGCTGAGTTGCAGTAAAGAGCGGCACACATGATTTAGATGGTGTAAAATCAGGTATGCCATTATCAAGTCGCCTAGTAGTTGTTGACATCGCCAGCTGAATACATCCAAAAGTTTCAGCCTCTACTAGCCTAGAAGGTGGTGCATTTCAGTGGAGAATTTAAAACTCCGACTTTGAGCTTGGTCTAGTGCAGTGAGGTCTTGCTTCAGCGGAAGCCTAGCATGGAGGTGGGGGCGCTCTGTCCCGGGCGGCAAGTGAGAGGGGTCGACATATTTTGTACAGACGTTTGTTCATACTAAGTGTGAATTCATCACAATTAGTTCTGTAACTGAAATGGTAAACATGGTAACAATCATACTGAGGATGCGTAATCCCAACCTACCGTATCTTAACTGGGAAGGTTGGTCTAGATTTATCTGAGCTATTCAGTCCCGCTAGATTGTCTGTTCTACCCGGTCATTCCTTGCAGCTGGACAAACAGCGGTCCGATCGGATTGTTATGGTTTCGGCTGACCTACCGATGACCTGCTGCTAGCGTGCACTCTGATCAGCCCGACTTCCCAAAGCAGGAGACCGGCGTACGGCTGGCAAGTATATTTGCTTAACGTCCAACTAACGGGACATTCAATTTATGGCCAAATCAATAGCCCTCAGCGTAAAACGCTCTCATTGGCTGGTTCCGTCCCATTAACACCTTCCCCCGCAAAAGTTGACATAACACTTCATTTTTGGATCCAACTGCATTCTTACGACAGGTCTCCGTAGTCGATCAGTACAGCGCCGGGTCTGGACCTTCGGTTCCTCTGAGACTTCTGTGCGGGATGCATCCGAATTGCTTTGGGGATTAGATGGCATGTCGAAACTCTCTAGTAGAATATCTAACGGTAGTAACCGAGCGCTTGTGCCCGCAGGGATGCTAGTTGGTCGCAGCTGATTGGAATGCCTGGTCCAAATCAAATTACCCACATTAACCTCATATAGCACCTGTCCAATATTTCTCCGTATCGATCCTACCACCCATTGCGGGTTTCCCGCGCGATAGTCTCTTACTAAGACACGCTGTCCGGGGTAAAAGCGGCGTGCTTGAGTTCTGTGTCGCTCGTTGTAGTACTGCTCCATCCGAACGTTCCTTTCTTGCTCATTAGTACACCTCGGAGTTAGCAGGGAATTCACAGTACGGAGTTTTCTTCCCATTAGTGCTTCTGCCGGCGACAACTGGTTTGGTACTTGGGGATTTGAAGTTGATCTGTACACGAGCAAAAATGTATCAAGTATCTCCTGTGTGGTTCCTTCCCCCCGCATCTTTAGTAGCGATCGCTTAAACGTGTCGACGAAGCGCTCTGCTTGTCCATTTGACTGAGGGTGAAACGGTGGCGACCGTAGATGCGTGATACCATGCTGTGCGCAGTATTCGGCAAATTGGGAAGAAGTGAACTGAGAACCATTGTCAGTGACCAAGGTTTCTGGTATTCCGTGTTGACTGAAAAGTCTCCTCAAAATGTTAATTGTTGCACCACTTGTCGCACGCTCCATACAGAAGACCTCAGGCCATTTGCTATAGGAATCAACAACTATTAGGTACTGCTGACCGTTTAGGGGACCAAAGAAATCAGCGTGCACGCGTTCCCACGGTTTTGTTGCCAACGGCCAGGAAGCTAAGTCAGCTTTTCTCGGTGCCTTACTAGCAAGCGCGCATCTGGGACATGACTTTACTAGTTGCTCGAGTTCCGAATCAATGTTTGGCCAGTAGACAAAACTCCGAGCAATGCTTTTCATTCTGTTAATTCCAGGATGTGCCCGATGAAATTGCTGAAGGACTCTTTGGCGAAGTTCTTTGGGTATGACAATTCTCTCGGCCAAAAGTAAACACCCATTTACGATCGAAAGTTCGTCCTTTCTCCGAGAGAGAATTTGTAGCTCTCCGGATAGAGTATCACTTGGCCACTGCGTAGTGTGAAATTTGATTACCTGGCGCAAGAGGGGATCTCGCACAGTTGCGTCACGTACCATGTCGAACGTCACGGGAAGCTTCCTAAAATTCTCCATCAAGACCTGGTTGACCTCTGATTCAAGGGAGATTGCTGCAATTATAGATTCTTCCTGCTGATGCTGTTGTAGCTCCAATAACCGGGAAAGTGCGTCTGCTTGACCTATGTCCTTTGTAGCCGTGTACTTCACCGCAAAATCATAGGCGAGTAAGGCCGTGGCCCAACGCTGCAGTCTGTTCGCGGTATAAACGGGTATACCGGACTTTGATCCAAATATGGCTAGGAGTGGTTTATGGTCGGTAAGCAGGGTAAACCTCCTGCCATACAACATTTTGTGAAATTTCTTTATTGCAAAGACTATCGCTAATGCCTCTTTCTCTATCTGCCCGTAATTCTTTTCGGCTGGCGACAGTGATCGAGCTGCGTGTGCGATCGCTTTTTCCGATCCGTCAGCAAACTTATGAGAGATAACTGCACCCACGCCATACTTCGAAGCGTCTGCCGCCACCACGATTTCAAGTGTAGGGTCGTAATGTGTCAGCATAAGGTCAGAACACAGCATTCGCTTCACCTCCTCAAAGGACTTCTGACAATCTTCGGACCAGTGCCAACGTTTGTCCTTGGTGAGTAACTCATTGAGTGGTCCACGCACGCTGTGCATATGTGGCAGAAATTGACTGTAATGACTGACGAGTCCTAAGAAGGACCTCAGAGTAGGCACATCTTTGGGAGGTGGCATCTTTTTTATAGCATCAATGTTTGACGGATCTGGACGTCTACCGTTCTTGTCAATTATGAAGCCAAGAAAATTAATGGAGTCCATGAAAAACGTGCACTTTTCTGGGCGAAGTCTAAATCCGTACTCTTGTATGCGATCAAGTACTAAGTGCAGCTTTCTGAAAAGGTCATCTGGGTTAGTTCCGACGACAATGATATCGTCCAAATATGCGGCAGCACCATCTACATCTGTTAGCATAGTATCCATGATTTGCTGAAAAATTGCTGGCGCGGACTTAACTCCGAATGGAAGTCGATGATACTGATACAAACCTCGGTGCGTATTTATCGTCAGTAATTCTCTAGAAGCTTCATCAACTTCTATTTGTAAGTACGCATCCGATAGATCTAGCTTGGCAAAACACTGACCCCCATTTAGTTTCGAGAACAAATCATCTGGGACTGGCAGAGGATACTGATGCGTGTTTAACGCTTCATTCAGCCCAGTAGAAAAGTCGGCACATATTCGGATCTGGCCGTTCGGCTTCTTGACAACCACAATTGGAGCCGCCCAAGAAGAGTAGTTCACTGCATAGATAACCCCAAGTTTCTCCAAACGATCAAGTTCCTGGTCAACAATTGGGACTGCTGCGTAAGGTACTGGCCGCTTTGCACGGAAAACAGGAACAGCATCGGGTTTTAAGGACAATGAGGCTTGCAACTTTGTACACTTACCAAGTCCTTCACGGAAAACAGGTGCATATTTCTCTCGAATTTGTTCGATTGCCATTGCCTTGGGGACTTTTGGTTTGTGTAAGTGTACACTTGCACAGATTTGATTAATGGGAACATCTAAGAGGTTGAATCGCTCAATCCAGTCTAATCCAAGGAGGTTCAAATTCTTGTGTGTTGTGACGAAAATAGTTCCCCAAGCGGTGAAGTTGGCAAAGCGACACTCACATTCAATCTGACCGATCAAGTTTAGACTCGTACCTGATGCGCTCTTCGCTTTATGGTTAGTTGGTTTAATGTCAGGTGAACCGATAGCTTTCCATAAGTTTTCCGTAATGACTGTAATATCGGAAGCCGTATCAATCTGCAGACGCGCTACTCTTCCGTTGATGGTAATAGTGACGAACTTTCTTCTATCTTTAACATCGTCCGTATAGTTAGCGTTTACTCTTGTCGCGAACCTTCGGTAACCTGCTTTTCGAGTATCACATGACGATCTAAATGATGTTTTGAATCTGCAGTGGGTCTCCTTGTGCCCCCGTCTAAAGCACCTTTGACAAACATGTTTGCTGAAAGGACACCATCTCACAAAATGCCATCCTCCGCATTGCCAGCAAGGTGATGGGGGTTTGGATTGTGGATATCTGCTAGGTTGAGCGGTCGGTGGGTTGTTTCCTGAAATTTGCTGGACAGATATATCTGCGGAATGTGCTCTCGAATCTTCCACCATAGCCGTATCGTGCTTTAAATTCATGATTCTTTGGGCTTCAGCAATGGCGTTTTGTAATGTAACATCTGTGTCGCGTTCCAACATACCAAGTATTCTCGTTCGTATCTCGGCGTCTTTTGGGGACTGTAGACTGCATACTAGTATCAAACACTCGAACTGGTCTTCCGTGAGCGACTTCAGTTTGAATTTCTGGCATTCACGTTTGACTATCGCCGCGTGAGCAATAAGACTGTCATTGTCCTTTTTGCATAGCTTTAGACAATTGTATCGGTTATTGAAAAGAGACGACTGGTCTCCAAACAACGCTGTGAGTCGAGCAACTGTATCATCAAAGCTGAAATCATGCGCGTTGTTTGGCAAAATGTAGTTAATGTATCTGTCATGTTCAACCGTTCCGAGTTTTCGTAACAAAAGGCGAACTTTAGATGCATCATCGAGACCTGACAACTCTGCCCTGAAAACATCTTCATAGCGCCTGAACCACGCATCGAATATTAATCCTGAGTCAGGATCGAATATGAACTCATTAACACTACTGATCATCGCATCCGCCGAAGGCTTCCCATTGTTCTGAACGACCGTAGGCTGCACAGATAACATTTGGGTGAGGGTTTCAATCATACGCAGCTGTGCTGTTTCAAATTGCTGCTGTTGCTGCAACAAAATGATTTTCAGGTCTTCCGCTGAAATTGACATCTTGATCCACTACCTTCCGTCGCCAAAAATATATGTTATGGTTTCGGCTGACCTACCGATGACCTGCTGCTAGCGTGCACTCTGATCAGCCCGACTTCCCAAAGCAGGAGACCGGCGTACGGCTGGCAAGTATATTTTCTTAACGTCCAACTAACGGTACATTCAATTTATGGCCAAATCAATAGCCCTCAGCGTAAAACGCTCTCATTGGCTGGTTCCGTCCCATTAACACCTTCCCCCGCAAAAGTTGACATAAGACTTCATTTTTGGATCCAACTGCATTCTTACGACAGGTCTCCGTAGTCGATCAGTACAGCGCCGGGTCTGGACCTTCGGTTCCTCTGAGACTTCTGTGCGGGATGCATCCGAATTGCTTTGGGGATTAGATGGCATGTCGAAACTCTCTAGTAGAATATCTAACGGTAGTAACCGAGCGCTTGTGCCCGCAGGGATGCTAGTTGGTCGCAGCTGATTGGAATGCCTGGTCCAAATCAAATTACCCACATTAACCTCATATAGCACCTGTCCAATATTTCTCCGTATCGATCCTACCACCCATTGCGGGTTTCCCGCGCGATAGTCTCTTACTAAGACACGCTGTCCGGGGTAAAAGCGGCGTGCTTGAGTTCTGTGTCGCTCGTTGTAGTACTGCTCCATCCGAACGTTCCTTTATTGCTCATTAGTACACCTCGGAGTTAGCAGGGAATTCACAGCACGGAGTTTTCTTCCCATTAGTGCTTCTGCCGGCGACAACTGGTTTGGTACTTGGGGA